CTGAGAAGTCTCTCCCCTTTTTTCAAATAATGAGGAAGGCCACCAGCTTCAAATGGACGACGGAGTGCCAGCAAGCCTTTGAGGAGCTGAAGCAATATCTCGCCTCCCCACCCGTCCTATCCAAGCCCCAACCCGGCGAAACTCTCTTCCTTTACTTAGGAGTGAGCACGTCGGCCGTCAGCTCCGTACTCATCAGGGAGGATGACGGGGTACAAAAAGCTATATTCTACGTCAGCAAGACGTTGCGGGAGGCTGAGCTTAGGTACTCCCCCATTGAGAAGACAGTGCTGGCCATCGTCCACACGGTGAAAAAACTTGGGCACTACTTCCAGGCTCACCCCGTCCACGTCCTCACGCATCAGCCGTTGGGAGCCCTCATGAGGAGCCCAACCAGCTCCCCAAGGATGATCAAGTGGGCAATATTCTTGAGCCAGTACCAGATTGAGATCAAACCGAGGCCATCCATCAAAGGGCAAGCCTTAGCTGATTTCGTCACCGAGTGCACGGCAAGGGAGACGGCCGTTACCACCACAGGAGCTGAATCGGACGAAGCCTGGACCCTCTACACGGACGGGTCCTCGGCCACCAAAGCCTGTGGGGGTGGCGTCGTCCTCATCTCCCCGGAAGGATTCAGAGCATACTACGCCATACGCTTCAACTTCAAAGTATCCAACAATGAGGCCGAATATGAAGCACTCCTCAGCGGACTAAGACTAGCCGCTGGTCTTAAAGCACGCCACGTCAGAATCAAATGCGACTCCAAACTCGTAGTGAGCCAAATGGAGGGTTCCTACGAGGCCAAAGAAGGGAGGATGAAGCAATACAAGGAGGCCGCCGCGGAATTGCTCAAGGCGTTCGATACCTACGAGATCACTCAGATCCCAAGGGCGGAGAACGCCGAGGCCGACATCCTCTCCAAACTCAGCTCCGGCACCCCTGAGCACATCTCCAAGATAGCTAAGGTGGAGGAGTTGAGCATGTCAAGCATTCACGCTAGCCCCATACTCTCCATACAACACCAGCCGGAAGACTGGATCACTGACATCGCATCCTACATCGCCTCCGGCACACTACCTGAAGACGAGGAGAGGGCCAAACTCGCCAAACTTAGGGCGCCAAGCTATGTCATTGAGGGTGACAAGCTCTACAAAAGATCATACAACGGCACCCTCCTCCGGTGCCTCCACCAGAATGAGGCCGAGGTGGCCATGGAAGAAGTCCACTGCGGCGTATGCTCATCACATCAGGGGCCCTTCAGCATGTCACGCCGCCTCGTCGTCCAAGGCTACTTCTGGCCGACGATGGCACGCGATTGTGCTGAGGTCGCCCGCAAATGCAGCGCATGCCAACACTACCAAAGGGCACCTGGTCGGCCGGCCGTCAATTACGCCCCGGTCAGCACTGCCATCCCATTCTCCAGATGGGGCATCGACCTCGTCGGCCCACTACCAAGAGCCGCGGGCAACAACAGATACATCATCGTCGGCATCGATTACTTCACCAAATGGGTCGAGGCCGAACCACTCGCAAGCATCACCGGAGCGCGGTGTCGAAAGTTCGTCTACAAGAACATCCTCACCCGCTTCGGCGTGCCTCAGGAGATCATATCAGACAATGGCACCCAGTTCGAGGCCGAACCGTTCCAAAGCCTCCTCCAAGAATGGAGTATCAAGCACCGTTTCTCCTCCGTTGCCTACCCTCAGGCCAACGGGCAGGTTGAGAACGCCAACAGAACCATCTTGGAGGGGTTGAAGAAAAAACTTGAAGCAGAGGGCGGAAGTTGGGTCGACGAGCTCCCCAACGTCCTATGGTCCTACCGCACCACGCCGAGGAGGGCCACCGGGGAGACACCATTCTCCTTGTGCTACGGCTTCGAAGCCAAGGCTCCCACAGAAATCACCCTCCCCAGCCGACGGGTCACACAATACGACCCCGAAGCCAATGAAGAAGCCATGAAGATTGACTTGCACCTCATTGATGAAAGGCGGGAGATGGCTTACCTCCGGGCAGAGAACTACAGACGACAAGTCAAATCCTACTACGACGCCAAGGTCCGCTCTCGTGAATTCCAAGTGGGGGACTACGTCCTCCGCCGAAGGGAGGCAAGCAAGCCGACGGAAGGAGGAAAGCTCGCCGTCAAATATGAAGGACCCTACATCATCAGCGCCGTCATCAAAGCCGGCACTTATAGACTAAAGAACCCTAATGGGTCAGATGTACCACGATTGTGGAATGTACACCACCTGGTGAAATTTTACCAATAACTCGAGAAGTGGTGAAGCGGGCAACGTCCCCCACCCCTCGGCTTATTGGTTGAATAAAACACCCTCGGCCTAGCGCCACTTGTTGAATAAAATGATGTTTCATCCAATCTTTTAAGATTTAAGCAAAAGGAGACCCAAGGACCGCATCGGCCTAAGCGGTGAAAACACCCGGGACCGATGCGACTTAAAGCCGTCGCAATAAACGACGCACCTAAAGCCGTCGCAATAAACGACGCACCCAAAGCCGTTGCAATAAACAACGCACCTAAAAGCCGTCGCAATAAACGACGCACCTAAAGCCGTTGCAATAAACAACGCACCTAAGGCCGTTGCGATCCACAACGCGCCTACAAAGCCGTTGCGTAGCCAACGCACCTAAATATCGTATCGGCACAAGCGGTGAAACACCCAAATCGGCCGGCGATATGTAGGACGAAGGACCTGTGTGCATGGTCTGACGTCTTCAAACGGAGAAGCATACCGCGTCGTCCGCGCGGAAACCGCAGGACGACAGGCCTGAATTAAGGCTGAGGTTACAAAAACTCCACCCGTCAGTAAAATTTCGCTCAGGACCACAAAGGGCGGCCGTCAAAAGACGATGCCTAGTCCGGTCCCTCGTCGCCGATAGACGTGGAAAGGCAAAAAAGGATGCCACTGACACACCAAGCCGAGGGCGTATTTACTCCCTCGCACCGATTCACGCGAAGAGCGTAGCGGACAAAACTACCGCATATGGACGAAGGGACAGTAACCCTTCGGCCACCTAAAAAAAAAAAAAAAAAAAAAAAAAAAAGAGGGAAGCCGACGGACCGTGCACTCGCCGGCCTCGAGCAAAAAACAAAATCCCCACAAAAACCAAAGCCTCAAAGTTGGCCAAATACATATCAGGTTTTCACTATACAAGGATCTGAAGTGCACGCTTCGGCCTCAACCACAGCGTCACAAAAGGGAATCGCTTCGGCTTCGGTTATACAAAACCACAGTCCGTTACTTGTACGATGGGACGCATCGTCTCCACGAAACAAAACCCAAGTGACGAACCCAAGCAAAACAATTCCTTGGTACTTAGCATCCCCTAAGCCTTCCAAAGTACCAATCAAACCAGTAGCCGATGCGCATAACGACGCAGCGCCACGTTTCAAGAGGCCATGGTACTTGGAAAAATATCAAGAAACATCCGGGCTTTCTTGCACCAAGCACAAGTAGGCGTTTGAAGTCCTTCTTGCAACTGCTGAAGGAGCGCATCGTCCATACAACCATATACACATGAATGCAACCAAGACGTTGCGACCTCGGGTTAAAGGATTCAGCCATCCTAAACGAGCAAATCAAGTTTGATGTTCCCACTTAGGAAAATTCTAAGGAAAGTAGCCTACATTGACACATGGACGATGGGGCGCATCGTCTCAACCAAACACGGATGTATGGAACTGACACTTAGCAAAAAACGCGAGGATTAGAAAGTACACAAAAACAATGCGGTGAAGACGGGGATGCGGCCCTGAACCACCATCAGGAGCGCGCGCTTCGTCTAAAGATGCCACACCAGCAAACCACCGCATCATCTCCGACGAGGGACGCATATCCCTTGAGACACCGAAGGAACGCTTCGTCTCAACCAACCGAAGTATGTTCGCAAACACTTAGCCGAATTTGAAGAAGATGAAACTTATAAAGCATGGAGTACAGAGACGATACGACACTAAAAGTTCATACTTCAAAAAAAAAAAGCTATGAAGACGGAGCAACAAACATCTATACTTAGACAAAAAGAGATCTCTAATTGATAATTCAAATCATACAAGGAGGGCGCTTCGGCCGTTACAATCATCAGGGCGCTTCGGCCATTAAAAACTACTACTACAAATAAGGAAAGAAAACTAAGTACAAGAAACACTAAGCAGCTTGTCCTTGGCCACCCTCGACGGCTCCGCTGTCCGCATCGTCTTGCTCATCCTCAGTATTTTTTGACTTGGTCGAGGTCCGGAAGAGGTAATCATCACTCTCGGTCCAGGGCTCGTCCTCTTCATCCGAGCTCAGGATGGGGGGCTGCCTTTCGGACAGAGGAAGTTTCAGCTCCTCCTCGGGGTCCTTCATCATCCGGGGAAGGCCGATACCCCTGGGCTTCAGGTTCTTCACACGCCGGCGAAGACGGCGGTAAACCAACATCTGCATACGCCTCTGGCCGAGGTCGTACCAGACTTCAAACTCCTCTTTCAGGCGGGCTCGGCCAGCTTCCTCCTGAGACCACGCCTCGAAGCGCTCCGCCACGACCTCAAAACTCCAGTCGCGCCGGGTCTCGTCCTTCCACCCTTCGGCCATAAAGAGCTCAACGGCTCTATCAGCAGCCGCTGCCGCATCGGCCTCCAGCTGCACAGCTTTCTCTTCTGCTAGCCGACGGGCGGCCGCTTCTTCATCAAACTGAATTTTGAGGCGCTTCGCCTCGTCCTCAGCAACAACGGCCCTCTTCTCGGCCGCATCAGCTCTCTCCTTTAAGGAGCCAGTTTCAGCCCGAAGCCGCTCCAACTGGGAAAGCGCTTCGTCTGCAGAGGCGGCTTTCTTCTCAGCCTCCCGAAGGCGAGCAAGCTCCTCCACCTGCCGGCGCTGCTGCTCCATCAGCATAAAAGCCCCCTGCAGAGACAAATAATAGTCAGAAGAGGAAAAGAATGCAAAAATTACTAAGTACAAAAGCCGGGACTTACCTGGACGACGTAGTCTAAACCGCCATCGAAGAGGCGCACATCCTTGCTCTGCCGCCGCAGGTACTCCCTGTCGGCATCGGGAATGGCCTGGAACAAGACGTCGTGGCCAGACACCTTCTCGTTAAAAAGCCCGCCCTTGGTCGGGTACCGCACCGTCACCTCATACAGGCCGGTAGCCGGATCTCGATCGGCGCGAGTGCTTCCCTTAGCAACAGCACCAGATTTGGTGGGGACTACGGCGGACGAGGCGACATTCAAAGTCAGATCCTCGATAACTTGCACGTCGGAGACAACTTCCCCTTGAACCGACGCCTGCGCATCGGCCATTGCGGCATCAAGGAGAGGAGGATTCCGCTTCGTCTTTTTGGCACCCTGGGCCGGTATCAGACCCGTCTCGGCAAGGGTACGCTGACCCTCCTCAACGGCCTTCTTCCTCTTCACCACTGGCTTCTTCGCCGCGTCGGCTTGGGATTTGGTCCCGTCACCAGAAACCTTGGACGCTTCGGCCTGTTGAACGGCCTCCATCTCTTTGGCAACCATTTTCTTGGCCTGAGCCATGAAAAGCTTGCGACTCATCTCAAAACCTGCAGATACGATACAAAACAAAGAGTCAGAAACAAAAGGAAAAGAAGCTAAGTACACAAGGATTAAAGAAAAGCTATCAACCTTCGGCCTCGGCCGGGATCCCAATAGGTGGCCCATCGGCCTGCTCAAAGTAACCGGACATCTTCGGCCACAAACCACAGTCAGGATCGCCTGGTATGTAGTAGCGCATCATTCCAAGGGCCGCAATCTTGAACTCAGTAATATAGGTGTTGACGCTCCGCGGCCCACCCTTCAGGAACGCCTCCACCTGAGCATCGATCTCAGCGCTCTTCGGCGGAGTGTGCAAGTTAAAAAGCCCATTATGGCCTTGAGAGGGAAAGAAGACCCCGTCGGCCAACTTCACAAAGCAGAATTTGCTTTTCCACCCATGGATGGACGAAGGGAGATCTATGAAGGACCTCTTCTTCGGCAACTGCTGAAGCGCCGCGTAGCCAGCACAGTTCTCATGGCTTCCCCGGCCGATCCGGTACAAATTCATAAACAACGCCGTCGTGGGCTCAATCCTAAGCTCGTCACACCGGATAAGGAACCCGACGATGGAGTAACTGTTCGGCGTTAGTAGAGCCGGGGGAAGGTCCAACATCTTCAGATATTGGACGACAAAAGGAGGCAGCGGAAACCTCAAGCCTTGGGAAAAACTCATTGGATACACCCCGAAATATCCAGGGGGTGGGTCCAAGATGTGGTCCGTCGGCTTCGGCGCCCTCACCTTTCCATAGGGGCCGACGTACAACTGCGCCACCTGGTATTCGCTCTGGGTGCTCTCCGGCCTTATAAGATAAAGGTTCGTCAGATCCAATTGAGAAAGCCCGCCGGATACACCTTTCCGACGACGCGATGTACGTCTCTTCACCACCCCAGATGACGACGCGCCACCCGGAACAGACGAAATTGGTGGTGGACAAGGGATGGCGGCCGATGAAGCATCACCCGCATTATCTTCACGAAGCCGGGGCTCGGAGCTCGCTTCGTCCTCACCAGAGGGTTGAGAACCCGCATCGGCACTTAGACGCTCCTCGTCCACAGAGGTGCGGTAATCCGCAGTGTTCTCCATCTCAATCTCAAAAGCCTCCACCACTCTTAGATCCACCCCAGGAGATGTGTCCTCGTCGTCAAAAGGCCAATCAGATTCGTTCAGCGAAGCTGTTAAGTCAATTGGGGAGGGGACGCTACGGCCGTCAGGGAACGGCATAACAACTATCGCTACGTCCTAAGGGTAGTTTTCGGATCAAAGTGACTTTCCTAAAGAACACTAGATCTAACACCCTAAGGAGCAAATTATGAAGAAATCAAAGGAAAATTAAGAATATCTAACCTTAGAAGATTTGAAGAAAGCGACGAACACTTGGGAAATCTCGGGACTTTATCTCTCTAGAAAAACTTGGGCAGCAATTCGACAAACAGCAGGGCACGAATGAAGAAGTGGCTTCGGAGTAAGGAGGTATTTATAGAGACCCTCCAACGGTCACTACACGTGGCGCCATCCCATTGGCTCCACCAACGGCCACCTCTATTCCAACCAATCAAGGGCGTCAATGCAGAATCACTCAAGCAAGCACCCCTACGGCCCAACTCAGCCTTAAAAAAAAAAAAAAAAAAAAAAAGAACAGGGCATCGGCCGACTACCACTACGGCCCAATTACTACAAAACTCCAGAACAGGCACCGGCCCATTCTCCCGAATAAGGAACGCATCGGCCTAAACTCGACGTCCTCACAACAACCCAAGGAACCTTAAATAGACCGCTACGGCTGCTTGTGCGCGCATCGTCGATGATAACCCTGGCATTGCGGCCTTCGTCCAAGGGTTCTTCCACAGGGTTACCTTGGACAGGTTCGCCTAAGGGATTGGAGTCACGACTAACGCATAAGTACCGGATCGGTTCATTACTCCCTTGTGCCTCAGATGCTCTTCGGCCAAAGGAGTGGGGGACTGGGGGACTGTATCGGCCACAAGAAGAAAGAGCGCAACGGCCTTAATATAAAAGGGTGCGCTACGGCTCACCAGCAACAAAAATGGACAATTCACCTCAGATAAGCATTAAGAGCCGCATCAGCTACCGCAATGACATCGCGAGTCGCGTCGGCCGCGAAGCCCAAAATAAAAAGAGACTCACCATGCGAGATCTAACACGCAACGGCGGCGTACACTGAGAAGTCCGCGTCGTCTCACCATAACAAAAACTCACAAATCAAAACGCTTCGGCTGCATAACAAATCAAAGGTGCGCATCGCATCGTCTACATAAACAGAATCAACCATCTTCATCTCATGAAAATAGGTCTTCGCTACGGCCAAAAGGATAGATGGGAGCTCTTCGGCCCCAACAAAGTGACAACGGAAGCATGCCAACTTATCCACCAAGGATTCTTCGCATCATCTACAAAAAAGAAAAGTGCATCGCCTCGTCTTAAAAAGCACTTCCACAGAGTGTGCATCGGCCCGCATCAAGGCTATGAGTTCCCAATCACGCTTCATCTACATCAAATAAGGGAACTGCTTCATCAAAAAATCAAAGCAGGAACTCTTCGGCCATCAAAACGCCTTAGACTCACGCAACGGCCAGCCAGAAAGGAACAAGTACTCCCTTTCGCTTCGGCTTCACCTCAGCTCAGAGAGTGGGGGACTCCTGATAGAGTATATGGGCCTGGACCCCATGGCCCACATACTCAACGGCCCAAAAGACACCAGCGGGACACCCGCATCGTCCAGAGACACGTAGCGTCCAAAAGAGAAGATATCGCCGGATTTCTATAGACCGCATCGTCCATGGACCGCGTCGTCCATGGACCGCGTCGTCTATGGACCGCGTCGTCCATGGACCGCGTCGTCCATGGACCACATCGTCCATGGACCGCATCGTCCATGAACCGCATCGTCCGGACTTCATCCGGGCAGAATGTATTTTCCTATTTTTTATACTAAGTGTTGTACTCAGCCCATTAGTGGCCTTATTCGCCCAAAGAAGGCATGATTATTGTAATGGGCCTCCTAAGCCCAAGGCTAGGGGCCCAAACCTACATTTTTACCTATAAATAGACCCCAAGGGGCTAATTATAGGGGATTCTTTCCAATTTGAGAAATATAATTACTCACTTTCTCTCTCTAGCTCTCACTTCTCTCTAGAATTAATACTCTATCAAACATATTATGGAGGGTGAAGATTTGTTCTCACTTCTCACCTTAAGGGATATTCTCATTTGGACCAAAATCTCACACGATGGCTTTAATATGTATTCCTTCTTCAATAGGATTTATCACTCCAGCTTTGAACACAGAACACTGGCATCTCCTCATCTTCTTTGGCTTTATCCTCCTTTTCATCAATTCATGGCTCTGGCTTTCGCATATTGAGCTCCAAAACTCCAAAACTTCATACTCCTGAAATAATAAATTAAAAAACAGAGCACATGGCCTCTCCTCATCCATCGGTTCTAGAGCTCAGTGATAGAGTAATCTTGTATGGAAGCCATGATGATCTTGTCACACTCCGGCTCTATCCAGGTTCAGCCATATATTGGGGAAGCGAAGTGCACACATATTTGGAGGCGAAGATGGAGGATTGGACAGAGGTGTCGGGCTCGGAGGTTGCGTTTGACAAAGCTCATACTAATTTCAACCTTCTACCAAGCAGATCATAGAGACCCTAGATCATAGCAATCAGTTGCTATACGGGAAGAGATACAGGATACTACAATATACTGTGGCGGCGAGGTGCGGCCCGGTGGCGGCGACGGAAACATGCGGTGCAGCAAACATGCGGTTGCGAAGATAGTTAATAGGGATTCCAACAGAGGTCCGCGTATGATTTCGCCGGGGGCTAGGTGGTTCTCCTCTAGGGTTTTGGATTGGGCACGAGTAGTTCTTCCCATTTTTGGTGAGTGTTTCGTATTTGGTAGAAGGGGAGGGTTTCTTACTTGATAGTTCAGACCTCTCAACGAGAGCACCAAATGATGGATAGTCCACCCGGGGGGTATCTTATCCGAGGGGTTATTGCGGGAATAACTAGAGAGAAGTCAGAGCAAATAGGAGGAGAGAGAGTCGATTTATTAAATGAACTCGAGATGTGGAGTTGGGATGTAGATCCTGTTTTACAAGGAGAAATGGGCTGCTATTTATAGCAGCAATAAATGCGACGAGAGTACACGTGTCAGTAATCCAACGGCCGAAGGGTCACATCAGTCGGGTGGCACCGGCAGTGGTACGTTCACCGCCTTGAATGCGGTTGGTGGATGTGACGTGGCATTAAATGCGGTGGTTGGCTGTCTCCAAAAGGAATCTTCGATGATTGAGCATGTTTGGCCGAAGGCTCCTTGTGCGGCCGAGGGGTCCATGTAGCCAAGGACCCCTGTGTAGCCGAAGGCCCCGAGTGACAGAGGGCTAAGTTCAGCCGAAAGGTTACCTAATGCCGAGGGCTTGGTAATGCCGAAGGCTCATGTTTTTCGCCGTTTTTCTCCCAGTAGCCTCATATGTGAGATAGGGCTACTTCGTGAGTTTCTGGAGCCTTCGGACAAGGAGGCCGAAGGCACCCCAGTGCGTATTCCGGGCTACTTTGAGGCTTGGGCCGTTGTATTTGGGCCTGAGTCGTTTCCTGAGCTCAATGGACTTGTGTAGGAGAAGTAGGAGTCTATGGGCCGGGGGTTCCTGGGCCATATACTCCATCAGCAGCAAACACCCGTTGAATATGTGCAAGGGTGTGAGGCTATTTTCGTCTCTCCACTTGAAACTAGTCCTACTTACAGATTAAAAACTCCTAAGTCCTATTTAGGACTAAAAAAAGACCATGTACTCAAATAGGACCTACTACTTTTTAACTTCTAAATAGGAGTACATTTTTTCTGTGTTCCAAATTTACCCCTATTTCTTATCTTTGTTGCTCGTCTCTACAACTCCACAAGTCTCTCTCTTCGTATGGACAAATTCTACCGGGCCATCTACATTCACTTCCAAATTCACATTGTAGCAGATGAGCAAGGCGGTGCGAACAGATGGGACGCAACCAACCAGCTCCACCGACATGGAGACGGCAGCGCGTCATAGCGATACAACGGCGACGACGGAAGGGCTTTATTTTACAGAAACTCGGCAGCGGCGGGATGAGAAAACGGCGATGGTGGAAGGAGCCTGAGGCCCTTCTCTTCCTCGTTCTTCTCCTTTCCTCCTCCTCCCTTCTTCTTCGTTGTTGTTTCTTGGTTTTTTTTTATCTAATTCCTTATTCAAATTGTAACTCCATTAGTCCAGTATGGTTATTTGTTTCCTTCAAATTTTCAGTCATTAGTCATTAGTTCCTTCAAATGATTATTTCGTTAAATCATTTTAGTTATTAGTTCTTATAATTAACCTCACGTTGACAAGGTAATTGTTGGTTGGTAACAACTCCGGTACCCTTTTAAAAATTGGGGTACCGTATCTACCATGCATTTGATTGGTCCAAATCATTCTATTCATTTTAATTTAGATTTAATTAATTCAACTATATCATTTCTATTGGTCCATGTGGACAAATGTATGGTACCTTAAGGGTACCATAAAATCTACCTTGTTGGTTTATTCAAATGTCATTGCCTTTGTCAAATCTTGCTATGCATTTGTAATATGTTTTCACAATGTCTATTCTAATGTCATTGTTATCTTGACAATGTCAATGCATAAAAATGTCACCAGGTAAAGAAAATGTCACAATGGCAATGTCATTGTCAATGCTATAAAATGACATTGTAATTATGACAATGTCAATAGCTATAATGACAATGTTAATTTTATAACAAAAAAAAGTCACAATGTCGTAAAAATGTATAATGTTAATTAATCATGATGACAATGTTAATGACATTGTCATAAGAATGTCAATGAAATGTCATAAAAATGTCAATGACAATGTCATAAGAATGTCAACCATTATGAAAATGACATTGTCAACATACATCATTTGTAAACATTAACAATTAATTTAATTTAATGAACTATTTATTTAAGGTAATTAATTATGACTAAATTATAATTTCTTCATTGATTAATACGTAGTAATATTGTGTGATAAATTTCACACAATATTATGATGTTTTAGAATATCCCCAATGTAAAGCGCGCGGGTCAGTGTCTCTATGTGGGCATGGTCACTTTGATTTGAACATTTAGTCAAAAAGCTTTAAAAAGAAAGAAAATTTTCTCCTGCAATTGATGAAGCATGCGGATCTTTATTAAGTCCACTCCACACAAAAACAATAGACAACACTTTTGGTCCGTTTGGATAACCCCAGCTGAACTCGATGCAAGTTGAGACCTGAATTTTGCTTTTGAACTCTAATCTCCTCCTCATGCTCACAAGATCGAGTTCCGCCATTCTGGCCGCTCTTCTTGCCCATAGGACATCCAGGACTGACTTCTTTTATAGGAATCACAGCCAGATGCTCAGATAGATCGGAGTAGGATCATACTTTTATGGACAGAAATAAATAGCTTGGATCTTCATCTGCCAAATACGTAGAATAGTTTTTCCCTAGGGAGGCGGGAGTGCTTAAGACTGGGAAAGAGAAGATGTGCAGTAAAGTGCGGCGACGCGATGCTGCGGAGGCGGCGCGAAATGGCGTCGGCAACTTGGCGGTGAGGTGCTGCAACGGTGATGATATTCAGTTGCGGCGAAGTCATCCAAGGAGGTCGGTTGTATTCTATTAAAAGAAGCAGTGGCCACGAAATTGATGACGAATAAGGCGTGAGGTTATTTTTGTCTTTGCGCGTAGATAGGAGTCCTATGTACGGTTTAAAAAAGTTCGGCGGGAAAACTGTTAAATAGGCCCCTACTAATACAGAAAAGTCAATTAAGTCCCTGAACTCAAAAAACACTCAATTAAGCCCACGAACTATAAAAAACGAGGCAAAACAGTCCTTTTAGCAGGTAATTAAGCGGTTAAAAAGAGATAAGGAAAAAAGGAAAGAAAGAGAAAAAGAGAAAAAGAAAATGTAAAAGCACGCCACATCATTTGCCACACATGCAACTTAACTGGGAACGATTAATATCCTGCTAAAAGGACTATTTTGCTTAGTTATATTTAGTTTGTGGGCTTAATTGGATGTTTTTTTGAGTTCGGGGGCTTAATTGACTTTTTCCTATTAGTAAGGGGGGCCTATTTGACACCTTTCCCAAAGTTCGGCTCCTATTTAGAGTCCAGCTCTATGTTTTACTCTTGTTTATGTCTTTATCCCTACTTCAAATTCCATCACAAACCCTAGGTTTGGACATGAAGTCATTCACTAGTGAAAATGTAATTAGACACACTAACCATGAGACAGACACCATAAGCCTATAGTGACCAAATTATTGACATTTATTGTTCTTGTCTCTCAAGTCTCTGTGACCCCAAATCCTACTATCACAATAAAAGTCACCCCAACAGTCTAGAATACAAAAACACACAAAAGTAAAAATCTGAAATAGTCCCGTAAATAAAGAAAACACCAAATAAGGCCCCAAAATATGATCGTCATAAACCATGTTTGAGCATTGAACCACCACTTTAACGACTGTCTCCTTAAGAAACGTTTTGAATTTAAAGAACTTTGCCCTAATACATGGTTGTTTGAAGTATGACTTTCTTCCATTCTAAAAAAAACAGAAATGAGATTGTAATGAATTGAAAAGACAAAAGGCATTGACAATTTGATACATACGTTAGAACAAATATGCGATAAAAACATATGGCACTGCACATTGAAATTACACACCACAAGAGCACTCAAAACTAGTTCATGTTGTCATAATATTCATGTACACAAGCACCTAAGCAGACAAATCATCTAATTTAAAGGAATCATTGGCCACAATCGTATCTCTGCACCTTGCTCCCAGATAGAGATCTATATAACTACATATAGCTAGTTTTGAATAGAAAAACGTTTTTTAAACTAATTATATGTGTGTGTGATTTCGAACAGGGGGATAGAGGGTCCTTGTTCAAATCGGATTGAAAAATGGAAGAAAAACGTAATACCAGGAGGCCTTAGCTTCTTCGATGGAGATGGGAGCGACTTAGCTTGTTCAATAGAGATCGGAGCGGCTTAGCTTCTTTGATGGAGATAGGAGCGACTGTTTTCTCTATCACTGATAAAGCAGTAGAAATGAAATAAGGGAGTAGGTTTTAAGGTTATTTATGTAATTTTCAAATATAAGATATCTTTGGGCTGATGAAGTAAACATGTCACCGGTTATTAAAACTCAGGCTTACTAAACGCTTCTTTACTAAGCAATGCTTAGTAAGACCGCTCCTAAACAAGCACCGTTTATTAAACGAGGAAGTAAACGGCTCCCAAGTCTTGGAGCTTCCCGGTGAAATAGTGCCTTATTTTGTGATGTAAAATAAGGCATCTACGTTCTTTTTTGGTTATTTAAAATACAGGTACCATAATTGAGATACACTTTGTGCAAAATATATTATACAAGCTCACCCTAACTTTTTTACTTTGGTCAATCTGCAAAATCTTTAAATGTATAAAAAGTGAAAGCACAAGATCCTGTATTGTTACTTACAGTATTAGTTTCCATATCTAACATGATTATTAAAAATAGTTTATTAAATTTAACCATTTTTTAAATTGCAAAAAATAATTTATCTAAAAAATCATCCTTTTCACGCCTAGGGTTATGCCTTTTCACGTTTTTGCTGGTCAATTTTTTAGTTGACTGCATTTTCCACGTCCTTCTACTATGTGAGACGTTTTTCCGCAAACGTCTCGCATAATTCCTTTCAAATTTTAGCACAAACAATTCTCAATTGTTGTTTCATTTACCAATTACCATGACAAATTAAAAAACAAAAGTCAAGGACCAACTTAGCATCAAGTGGCATATACTTTTATAAATTTGTTATTACTCGCGACCAATTGTACGTTGTCAGGTCAATGGTCACCTTAAGAAAGCGAGTTAAAGATTCATATATGTAATAAGGAGGGTCGTGCTATCAACATCACTAATAATGTGATCTATAAATAAGTTTTTGAAAATTTATTATAGTTTTTGTACCGTATAAATATTTATGATCTTATGTTTTGTACTTTTAAGACACTTAACAATAATTACACTACCATTAATTCCATTATCACATACATAGAGTATATTATGATACCTTATTATTTATTTTAATTTCATTTGGAACTAATCATACAAACCAAATTTTTTATTTTCTTACGGCAGCTATTATATAATCAAAGATAAAACATATGAAATCTATTCGCTCTTTTATTTGACAAAAGTATACATTGTGTACTATCTAATAAAATAAATTTTTAATTAAATTATAATTCTATTCTAGGTACTTCGACTAGTATATATTACTTTAGAAGCCAATTTATGTAACAATATATGATGTAAATAGTAAATGCCATAAATGATAGTAATGATGCATATATATGCCAATTAAATTCATTTTATATCATGAATTGAGCAATAAAAGGTCTTTCTCTAACCGTTGTTTTTTTTTGGAAAACCGTTATTGGTTAATAAATGTGCTGGAATTATACGTTTCAATTGACTAGTAAACACAATTAAAAAAAATAATTTCCTTTTTATTGCTTGAGTATCTGAACCAACCCCGCTTCTTCATTGTCCCATTCACATTTTACAGTTTTTCACAACTAATTCCAAGATCATATCACCATAAAGTCAAAAGCTAATGGTACACAAATAGATTTCATGTGAACTTTAAAAACAAACATTACCAGGAGGCTAATGGAGCAAGCAAAATTACGTTTATCATATTACTCATCTTTCATCAATTGTTTCAATTTGATTTCTTTGTTTAGGAAAAAATGATTCCTAATGTAAAGATAATCTTTCTTACTTTATAGAAAATACGAAAGTGAGCCATACCTCTACCTTCAACAAACAAAACCGTACCATACACATTAAATTTTCTTTTCGTACGAGATTCAGACCCAGTATACTACTTGTGTGTTCGGATCAACTTTAAACTCTATTAATTCAATTGAATAAATACAACTTCAGCCCTAAAAAGTAAAAGAACGTTATACAAAACCAAACTAAAAGGAATGTAAGATTTATATAAATTAGTAGATTGTATTTGGACTGAAATTGATTGAGTGATTTAACAGTTTCACTTTTCAAACAGTTCTTGTCATCAAATACATTCATAATATTGCATATAACAATAATAACATAAGGAGTATAAGAATATCATGTATAAAAGGAAGAGAGTTCACGTTTGTAGAGGGACTGATTATTGATAGCAATGGAGAATAGATTGCTTGTTACGAAAAATCAATTAGAATATCTAGCAGGTAATATAAGAATAAGATTAGTCATGGAATCGGGTCCGGGTCGGGCCTCGGCTTGGCTGGGCCTAATTTTTTTTGTTGTGTACCCGAGACCGGCCCGGTGGTTAGCCGGTTACGGGTCGGGCCGGGCCACCCGCCCGGGTCGGGCCGTTTACAATTTTTTTCTTTCTTTCTTTTTTCCTACCTATTTCTACAAATATTGCATATTAAAAACAAACTTCAAGTGCATTTATTTGAAATAGGAACTACATTTGAGAATTGAGAAAAAAATTACAATATGAAATACATTTTCTAATAAATAATAATATAATACGGAGTATATAATAATTAATCGGAATTTCTGTCACCGTTGGTTGTTGTTTTCTCCTTGTTAGAACTGGAGGATAAAAATAGTATAATATAAGGGTGTAGAAACTAGAAATATGGTTGAACCGGATATCACTTCTAGTAACGTATAAATACGTTTTTCTAATAATTTACTATCTACCCTTATCACATTAACCGGGTTACAAGATAGAACTTTTGCGATAAAAAGAAGGCGTATAGTGTATTTTGATTACTCACAAAATAACACTAAACAAGTGATATGTATATAAAACAGTCTAAATGCTTTTATTTTATTACTGCCGATAATAAAATAAAGAAGGCAAAGCCGGAGATACGGTTGATTAACAACGTTTTTCATCCCTTTCATTCGACACTCTTCCTCCCTATATAAGAAAGGAAGTACTCCCTCCATATCATATATATCTTCTCACTTCTAAAGTGGGTGAGATTAAAAATAGTAAAAAGAGATATAAATTATTGAGGGTACGATGGGAATATGGTGAAATAATGTGATGGAATGAAGGATAAATCCAAAAAAAGTAGGTGTAATAGTGTATTATTTTTTAAATTATTGACAGTATGATGGGAAGATTTAGAAATGAGAAGATATAACAAAAAGTCTTGGTGTACACCCTGGGTTACACCCTGGGGTACACCATATAAATACCTATAATTTTACAGAGTAGTTTACCCCCTCCTCGCCCATGTGCCTTCACAGTCAGCCCCCTCTTCTCTCCTTGACTTCTCTATTACGAGAGTTCCCATTCTCCCAACCTTCCTCCCTTTTTTTCTTTTTTAATTCAATTGATGGTTTTCTCTCTTTTTTATCTTAGATGGAGGGCCTGCAGGATATATTACTGCGAACCAAAGAGGAGTTGCAATGAAGGACACACCAGTGAACAGAACAGGAACTGCAGCCGGAAATGGAGGTGCGGCCGGAACCGTGGTCTGAACGATGTAGATGCGAACAACGACAGAGGTGCGACTAAGAGCACACTTGTGAACGGAGAAGGAGCTACAGCCGGAAACGGAGAAGGAGCTGCAGCCAAAAACGGAGGTACGGCGGAAAACAGAGATATAATTGAAAAAATGAACAAATAAGTGATTGTGTGTGTGTTCAAATTGCAGTGTTTGTGTGGTAAGATGGTTTGGCTTAATGTTGTCTGCGAGTTGTTATGTAAGAGTAGCGAAGTGTCTGTGAGGTTGTTGTGTGAGTTATAACAAAAGTCGAAGCTTGGCCGGGGAAGTAAACAACACAGTGTTGGTGTGCACAGACGAATGAAAGTTTTCAAAGTGATTTTACCGACAACTAGTGTCAGTGTGTATAGACGAATGAAAGTTTTCTGAGTGATTTTACCGACAACTAGTGTCGGTGTGTACAGACGAATGAAAGTTTTCTAAATGATTTTACTGACAACTAGTGTCGGTGTGCACATACGAATGAAAGTTTTCTGAGTGATTTTACTGACAACTAGTGTCGGTGTGAATGAAAGATGTGTGTTGAAAACTTATTTGTGTAACATAATTATCTAATTTTCTAAACAGGCAGAGATAGACAGAGAGGTTTTCAGCTCTCAAAACCCATTATTTTCATTTTCATCCAACTTTAGTTTTGTTTCTTTTTCTTAGCCGCAAGGTCTGATATTTTTTTAGGAGACTCATTCTAACCATAATTGTTGTCATAGTAATTTTTAGTACATTAAAACTAACCAATATGTGTTTTTATTGACTCCATTTGGCCTAATAGAAAGAGTCCTGTTTAAAGAAGATACTCTTTAATCTTAGCAATGCATAACCATTAGAAATCATCACTTAGAGATGGAGTTTTATAATATACTTCTTAAATTAGATAGTTTTATAATCCTCAGTAGCACTATCTCAGCCACCTCCTCATTTTCTCTCTTGTTTCTCACTCTCGACACTACTTTTGAATTGATTTTAGTTTTTTCTTTAGATTTTCTATTTTCATTTCAGGTACATTACAGACTTCTCATGGGTTACATATGTTAGATTTCTATTGAATACTATTTATAAGATTATCTAAGTTGATTTTACTCTATCCAGATTCATGTGGCTTAAATTTTTTGTATACGTTTGAATCAGGAACTTAAAATTGATGGTTTCACGCTCTCATGAGCATAGGTCATCATCAAGTGAAGAGCACAACGATCTCTAAAGAGATAGAATTGTCTTCCTTCCAAAAAGTAATTTAATGGTGATGTATTGTGTCAAATATGGTTAATTTGTATTGTGTCAATGTATGGTTAATTTAATCATTTGAATGTCAACTATGAATGAGTTAATGTAAAATAATTATTTGATTATGTAAACAGATGGAGATAACAATGGCGATGAATGTGAACAAATTCCAAAGATAGGCTCATAGGCATGGAGTTTTCTACAAAAGATGCAGTTTATGATTTCTACAAAAAATGTACATATGTCGGTGTGCACATGTCGGTGTGCACAGACGAATGAAAGCTTCCTGAGTGGTTGTACTGACAACTAGTGTCGGTGTGAACATAGTAATAGTCTTTTTGTAGGTGTACACAGACATTACTTCTTTGTAAGTGTGTGTGGTAATATGGTTTGAGTTGTAGTAATATGGTTTGTAAGTATTT